AATGTTCCAGAATGTTTCACAGCTCATGCTCCCATTACGCTCTTGAAATTGCCCTGCAACCTCATATATGTCTCCTGAGACAGCACACTGTCCCAGCACCCCACATGGATTCAGAGAAGCAACAGAAGGTGTGGGCAAGGGCAGGACCAGAAGGCTATTAGATACCCATCTCTGAGGAGGATGGTCCCTCTCTCTAACCACACTTGTTCTGGAGGAGAAGGGAATTTCTGGCTTGGCTGAGTGTTCTCGCCCACTTTCTCCTTTTGCCCACAAATATGCTGCTGGGGAAGTTCCAGGGGCCGTGGAGCCCTGGGTTCCAGCCCCAGCTCAGCAAATAGCTCAGCGGCCCTGCTCCTTTCTGAATCTCCATGTGGAAAATGAGACGGCCAGGGTGAAGATCCGAGGCCCTTCCAGGGCTGAGATTCTAAATCACCACCTGCTACAGCCAGATATCATCACTGAAAGGAGACAGGGAGCCTGCTTTGATCTTCCAAGGGGGTAGAATGGGCTCCCAGAGCTAGGCCAAGGGTGTGGCTGCTGGGGCCAGGAGGACAGGCTGGTAGGGGGACTGTTCAAATGGGAGAATTCCAAGTGCTCAACACCCCAGACATTCAGGCCAGCTCCTAGGCAAGGTCTGTGACAGGATGGAGGGGGATAAGAGCTACCAATGCCCAGGACATGGTTCTGCCAGGAGCTCAGAAGCGGATCAGCTGTGCCCCTGTGTCTGGACAAGTCTCTGGGCTGGACTTGGCGGGGGTGCTGGGCAGGGGTGCAGGAGCAGGCAAAGAGCCTGAATGGGCATGTGCTTGTGGATTTCCCGGGCACCTAGAAGTGCTGGGTATCCAGAGGGGTCATGTAGACACACACGCATGCGTGCGCATGCATCTGTGTATGTGTCTTCAGGTTTCACAGCCAATATAAATCTTTCCAGGGAAGAAGGCAGAGCCAGAGTCAAGATGGGCTCCAACTAAGGCACAGGTTCAGCCAGGACCTCCAGGACTGCCAGGCTGGCTGCTTATTTATCAAATACTTCAACAGCAGGGTAAATAGCAGCAGTCTCAAGCTCCTAGAGTATCTCCCACTCCCACCCCAACCTCATACTCCAGTCCCAGGACTCAAAACTTCTGCACAGACCTGCAACCAAAGGGTGAGCACCAGGCTCACCTGGTGATGGAGGTGCAGGGATGAAGGCGGGAACCTGTCCATGCCACGTCTGGCATCCCCGCCATTGATCAGCCCATAATGGGAGCATGGATTAGCCTCCCCCTCCCCCCTTGGCTCCCCTCCCATCTCAGCTGTCCCCTTCCTTTGCTTTCATCACATCCCTCTTAGCTGCAGAAAGAATTCTGAGTTCAGAAGAGAGGGCTCAGATCACTGCGTGTTCCCTCCTTGAGTCTTGGGGTCCCGATGCCAAGGCCAGACACTCAGAAACTGCTCCAGAGGAGGCAGCTGGGCTGAGGGGGCAGACAGAGCTGTCTCCCACGCTCAGGCCACCTGCCCCCTCCACACCCCTCACCCAACAGACAAGGAACTCCATCCCTCCTCCAGCCAGCCTTCTGATGAGTATTCCACACCAGCTCAGCCCCCAAAAGCAGCAAGGCAGCCCCTCCCTGTGGCTGTTTGCTGACAACCAGGAAAGAGTTTTAATCTCAGAAACAGTCAAGGTGGGGAAGAGGAATAAGGGGCGGCCGGAGGGCCATATGGAACCTGTTTGAGAAGCTGGGTCAGAGCCCAGCTACACCTCCATGTGCTGGGGCGCCAGGCCAGCTCTTGGCTTTGCCTGCTCAGCTCCAGCCAGAGAGGGGAAGAAGCGTGGGAGAACAGACAGGCCGGCCATGAGGGGACAAGGCATGCTATGTGTGTTCACAGGGCTGTGTCCTTGAGGTGAAGACACCCTGGCTGGCTGCTCTGGTGGCTGGATGGGGGGCTGGCTTTGAAGGACTGACAGCTTGAACGTCTGCTAAGTACACAAGGGTCGACAGAGTGACATTTTGGGTCTCCTCAAGGCAGTCACAGAGGCTTGTCTGGGAACACCACTCCTGCTCAGCCCACCATTTCCTTGGCATGGTTCCTGGTGGAGAAGCTTCCAGAAACCCCTGACAGTACCATTTCGTCTCCACTTTGGCTACCCTGCCTGCGCACACAGCCAGTCCTCTCTGTCTCTCGGCTAACCCGTCACAAACGCAGTCCCACGACCGGATGTCAGACCCACACGATGCCAAGTGGTCAGGCGGACACTGTGGCCGGTCTGACTAAGGACGTGACTGCACTGCTTGGACCTCGGCCTCGCCACTCTGATCCGGACTGATCCAGGTTTCGGGTTGACCTTGCTGGATTTTGAACCAACCTCACCAAATTTCTAGCTCACCACCGCGGTACACATGAAGCCTGCCTGAACTTCTGTCTAGACTTCCAGGACTTCAAGAGGAACCGACCAAGCTTCCGATTGATTTTGCAGAAGTTATGATGAAACCGGCCTGAAAGTAGTGTGGCCTGAGCTTCCCCAGTTTTCAGTGCACCTGACTGGATTTCCAAGTTTCCTGAACTTTCAGTGTACCTGACTGGATTTCTGACTGGCTTGACTGAAAAGTTTTGACTGGTTTGACTGATAATTATTTTAAAAGCTAAACTTCTTGAATGTTGGACTCAGCTCACGGGATTCTTTTACCCTGAACTGACTGGATGACAGGGCACCCTCAGAACTAGGCCACATAACAGGAACTCGTGTGGGGAGCCAGTCGAGTGGCCCGCAGTCCACTCCCACCCACCTCACACCCAAGTCTCACTCAGAGCTTGCCCATCTCACCTGCAGAGGGGATGAGGCAAGAGGTGCCCAGTGGTCCGTTGTCCCACTCTGGACTCTTTTAACATTCTAGCACCTGTTTCTTTACTGATGCTTCCATCAACTGTCTGCTTTCTCCTTGTTTCCAGCATCACCCCAGCTCTCAGAACTGGGCACCACCAGTTCTAGGAAATGATGCTCTAGAGTCAGTCTGCTCTGAGCCCCCATGTCTGCTAGGAAGTCACATAAAACAGAGCTCAAAAGCCAGGGCTCTGGGCCAGCCTGCCTGGGCTTGGGGCACAGCTCTGCTGGTTCTAGCCGTGTCACCCTGGGATGTGTTAATAAACTCTTCTGAACTTTGTTTTCTTCACCTCCTAAGTGGGTGTGATTCTCTTGCTTATCTCTTGGGTCTGTCTGGAGGGTGAGCAAGAATACTAATGATAGCTAGGGCTTTTTGAGCATTTCCTCTGAGCAAGCTCTGTTCCAGGGCTGCAGACGGCCTTAGGACCCTCTCTGAATCCTCGCCAAAGCTCACTAGTCTGGTAAGTGGCAGAGCCAGCACAGTCCAAGCCCGCAGAGGCCCTGCCCTCAACCGCTCTGCCGTTCTGCCTCTTGGGCTTGCCTCGCACTGACAGAATCCGGTGAACGTCAGCTAGCACTATCTTCCTCGTCACCATAATTATAACACTTTTATCAGTGGAGAATTGGGCTGTTCTTTGGGTCCCATTTTGGTCAGTCATTTGTTATCTGATGGTGTGACTTCATATTCTTTGGGGAGTGCCGAATAGCAAGAATCCTCCCAGCTACCCACCACCCAGACCCCAACACCAAGCGAGCCATGGATATTTTCAAACCCTCAGGCATGTCAGAGCCACAGGGCTAGTTCTGTTTTTTAGGACCTTTGTCCATCTACTCACATCTGGTCTGATTTTACCATGAGAACTTCCTGAGTTTCTTTTCTGGCACTGTAATAGGAACCAGATTTGCAAAGTGTCCCCCAGTCCATAGTGTGTGTTGGTAATTGCCAGGCTGTGGGCTGTGAGGTGTGGACAGTGACAGCAGAGAAACTGGACCCTGTTCCTGACCCTGAGCAATGCCTGCGGCAGCACTGGTCTTCTTGTCTCCCCAGGGCGACAGGCATTTGGGAAGTCGTACAAACAATTATATTCACTCCTCACTCGAAGGGAAGTTCTTCTTTAACAGGGAGAGTGGGTGAGAGGCGCTGGGGGCTGTCTTCAGCAGTCTCAGGCTTACGTCCCTGTGTGCCTCTATTGTGTTCTGTCCAGACACATGACTCTCCTCCCCTTCACTCCCACTCTGCCTTCCCTTTGCACATGCTGTTTTCTGCCCAGTATGTCTTCCTCCTCCTTTATATACCTCTTCAGCATTTATTGAACATCTTCTATATGTTCAACATGATTCAGGAGCTAGAGGCACAAAGATACAATCCTGGTACTCTGTAGCTCACAATGGCAGAGACATGCAAAGTATCAAGGGATCAAGGGCCTGGACACCTAGGCCAAGCAGGGCAGGACAGGGGAGAGAAGCAGGGAAGACCTCCCTCCTGTGGGAGGGAGCAGCTAACTAGACCCTGTCTTGCCTACTCATCCTTCAACACCAGTTCAAGTAGCACCTCTTGTCTGAAGGGTGTCCAGATCACCACCAGCAGAATAAATGTCTTTCTCTCCAAAACTCCCTTGGCTTTGCGCAGGGAGAGACAGCACTGACTATCACACAGTTTAAGCCAATTCTCTCCATCCTGCTCTGGACCACAAACTCCCTGAAGACAGAACTGGATTTGCTTCTGCATGGCCAGGGCCCTGTTGAAGTTTAAGAAGTGTTGTTCTGAGTAAGTCTGTGTGTCTACACGTACTGTATCCACAGTGCATGCATATGTGTATGTGACCACACATCTGTGGGTGGGGAATGGTAGGCTTGGGGGCGGGGGTAATTCTTGGGGCTCATTCTTGAACGTATCTGCTTCGGTAAGATCTCTCGGCAACTCTCCATGACTCCCTCCTCTCCAGGTGGACAAGAAAGATAGTGAGCTCCCTCCCTGGTGTTTGGAAGTTGAAAGGCTGATCCCAGCGGAGACTGAGGTGGGTAGGACTGGGAGACACTGATGCAACAACCTCCTTGGCCAGCAGCCAGACCTTGGGGAGCACACCAAGAGACGCCTGGCCCACCATAGCCAGAGGGGCCTTCCTCGACTTCCTACCTCCCTACTCCCAGTAAATGCCTTCATTCTTGAAAAAGCCCTCCACTGCTCCAACCTACAGTGGGGGCTTGGTAGGAGGGTCCCCAGGGGCCTTAGTGTCCTGACCAGTGAACATTCTGGATAAAGACTAGGGTTGAATCATAGGTTAATTCCTATCTAGAAACTCATATGCTCGCGGGGCCCTTCCTGCCCTGGGGAGGGGTCAGTTGCATAAGTGGTCTAGTCTGAGCTGGGCCCCAACCTGAGAGCCTAACAAGGTAGGGAGACATTCCCCCAGGGACAGAAATCCCACATGCTTCCCAAAGTGCCCCACTGCCTGGGTATGACGGCAACAGTGCTTGCATCTGGGTGGGCCTTTGTAGTTTCCAAGGAAACGCCCATACATTGTCCATTCAATTAACATTTGTTGAGCCTTTACTTTGTGCCTGGTGTCGTGCCTTGCTAATCAGATAATAACATGAACAGGTGCTGTGTTCAGCCCTTCACCTGCATCACTGTGTGGTCCTCAAAATGACCCCTTTGTAAAGATGAAGACAATGAGACTCAGCTTATCTATCTCCCAGGGACACACAGTGCTAAGTAGTAGAATCAGGTTTGGATTCACCTCTCTCAGGTGACTCAGACCCCCCTACTCCCACACTTCCCCATCTCTAGCCCTTTCACCTTCCTCTAATAATGCTGAGAAAGCTGGAGTAGGTATTAATGTCCCATCTTAAAGATGAGAAAACTGACCCTTGGTGGGTTTAGGAGACTTTCCAGAGATCTCACAGAAGGTTGGGTGGGAGTGCTAACCTGGCTCCAACATCCACACTGCCTGCAGAACACTTACTCCAACGCTGCCCCCACATCCAAGCCCACTCTGCCTGGCTTTGCCCGCACCAGTCTCCCTCCCAGACCCCACTGCACAGGATGCCGTGACAGGCAGGACACAGGCTCCGAGGAATGAGGACGTTGCCCACCACACCTGGCTTGTGAGGCATCAGCACCGGTGGCCCCCAATAACTGCTGGCCCTGAGAACTCCTCTCCCCGGGGCTCCCTCCCCCAGGAATGACCAGCATTCCTCGTGGCTGAGGCACAGGAACATTCTTCCTGAAAGTTCTTGCCTAATCCCCTCCCACCCAACCGAGGGCTTTGGGCTCCATGACAAGGTCAATAATTACCCAAATATCCTCAGATTAGATCTATTTTCTACTTTCAGACTGACCAACACCAACCGGCCTGTTTCTCATCCATCGCTTCCCACTAAAATGCTCCTGTCTCTCACTCAGAGCTAACGACTCTCCCAGTGTTTTGAAACCTGCTCAGGGGGGTTAAACTCTCCCTGAGAGTGGGATGCCAAGTTCCTGGAAGCAAGCACAAGGCAGGGTTTCCAAACCCCTAAATTCCACCACCAAACTGTAAGGTCAGGTGAGTCCCAGGGAACACCCAAGTCCATGGGTCCTTGTCCCTTGTTCACTTGGAGTCCTATTGTCCAGGTTAGCCCCACAGAGGTCACCTTCTCTTGGGGCTTACAAATTTGGAAACACTGATTTTTCAGAAACTTGATGAGCACAGAAGAAAAACAGTTGCAGTAAGAAAACCTGACTTCAAGCCCCAGCTCTGGCCACTCATTGTGTGGCTCTGGGCAAGTTTTGTTTTTTCTTTTCCAATTTGTGCCTATAATTATTTTGATTACTTCATGGGTCACATAAGGCTTTATCAAGCAAACAGCCACTAATCAAATGGGCTCTGGGCATCTATTTACCCATGGTTTTAATGAGAGGGCAAGACTTTGACTCTGAATATAATTCTAGCTTTGGAAATGGTCACATTCTTCAACACAACCAATCTAGGAAAATCATTCTGATGAGAAAGTTTTTGTTTTCAAGGCGCTATTCTATCATTCCATCTACCGTCACATTATCTCTGACAACACATGGAATTAATTATCCGCGTGCTACTTAGGAAGAATAAGATGAAGAAGAGAAGAGATCTGACATTTATGGAGCAGTTACTATATGCCAGACCCCCTTCTAAGTGTGTTCTCTATGTACTAACACATGTAATCCTCCAACCAGACTGTAAGACAGGTGTTAACGGTTACGCCCCCTCCATTTTAAAGATGAGAAACGTGAGGCGCAGAGAAGTAACACAACGTGCCAAGTTCATGTGGGTAAAAAACAGCAGGCCAGGCTTTGAAGCTGGGCGGCTGTCTCCAGAGCACTAGCGTTTAATGACCGTGCCACACGGTCATAGTGAGATGAAAGAGGCCCAGGCCAAAGGGAAGATAGGGCTTGTCCATAAATTATTCTAATGCAAGTTGGGGAAGTAATAAGTGACCAGAAAGAAACAGATAATGTCCCCTGGGAGTTCAGACAAGGGGACCATGGCTTCCAGCTGGACCAAGAGGGAAGCTTTATGAAGGAGGTGACATTTTAGCTGAGCCTTGAAGGACAGGTAAGATTTAGAGCTGTGGCGATTGGGGAAGAGGGAACAGCAGGGTTCAAGTTTAGGGAGAGTAGCTGGCTCTGCCACGGAGAAAGAGACAACCAGGGAAGAGGCATATCAGAGAAGAGAACACCAGCCAGGTTGTGAGCGTTGCACACGGCCCTCTCACTGAACACAGACAAAGAGAGGCAAAGGTGTTGGGATGGGAGACATGTGTGCAGACAACAGAAGCAGGGAGGCAGGGAGCCAGGAAGCAGGAACAGCGTGTACACTCGGGGTACTGACAGGGGGCTCAATCCATGCGTGAATAAGCCCATTGCTCATGGAGGGGTAGGTGGGACCTATGAGGGATGAAAAGGCCCCCAGAAATGGGCAGCAGCAGGAAGCCTCTACCACCATTAGTTAGGCCTGCTGGAGGAGGGCAAGAAACAGCATCACTGGCCCCAGTGAGAGCCAGTAGCGCAGACCTCGGGGATGCAATCCCAGCCAGAAACATGGCCCCGATTAGGACGGGAGCAAGAAGAACCCACCCTCAGATCTCCCCCTGGGGCTTTCCGTGAGCAGAAGCCAAAGCTGATGGCAAGACAGTCTCCATGAAGAAAGCTGCAGGGGTCAGTTTCTGGGACGTGGAGCAGAGCAGAAAAGGATGGAGAGGATGGGAGGGGAGAGACCAAGAGAGAAGACTCACAGCCCAGATCAAATTTGGAAGCTATTGTCATGGTTTGGGAAAGAGTCACTGAGAGGCTGAACCAGGGCAGTTGCAGAGGAAAAGGAGGTGCTGGGGACACATGTATGGGAGCTTAAGGAAGTAAGACTGGGAGAATTTGGCAAGCAGTTGTCTGCAAGGCAAAGAAGAGCTTAAGTACCTGCTAAGTGCCAGGTGTATGTACATGCATATATATGTACACCCTTCTATATGAATAGGAAAAAATGATGATCTGTTCTGGCATCTTATTAATGAAAAACTTGAAATCAACCCATGATGATGAATGAGTCACCAGACAGGTTATCATGGAAGGGCCAGGACAGCAAGCTTTCCTCCGCATTGTGTTCACAATCTCCTGGCACGTATTCCTGCCCATGGGGTCCTTGGTGAATTACCATCCCTGTTCTACAGAGGAGGGATCTGAGGCCCAGGGAATTTCAGTGGTTTGGGGAAGATCACAAAGCATAACGGTCACAGAGCTGAAACTAGAAGCTGCCACAGTCTCCTCGCCCATCCAGCTGGTGTGTCATAGGAGATAACAGTCCACCCAGTCCAGCCCAGACAGTAAGGGGAATCAGGGCACTTACTGCCATCACCCTCTGCCTGCCATGGGCCTCGTCCCCTCCGCATCCACCCTCTCTTTAGCCAGCCCCTTTGCAGCCAGGGCATCAAGATGAATTCATCTTTGCCTTGGAAAAGATGTGGGAACTAATCAAAGATGATGCCTGGCTGGGCATGCCCTGGATGAACTCCCCGCTCGGGGTTTCCACAGCACAGTTTCCACTCAACAGGTAATCAGGCTAGTGGAGTGCAATGATGGATTGTGAAAGAAATGATACCACTCAAACCTTGTAACGCAGCTTCATTATCCTGTGGCAGATTTTTGGCAATTCCTCAAGTCTGGCTCATTTTATGTCTAATTACATATTGCAGTGCATAGCCCCTGTATGTTATGTTTCACATAATAAATACATGGAAAGTTGTTCTTTTCCCATTAGCCCCTACCCAGCAATGAACCAATTTCTGGTGAGTGCTTATGCAATAAAGAAGAAGTTGTTTCAAACACCATGGCACTTCATAACTGAACTTTATGGGCTCCCGCCACTCTGATTCAGGGGGCTTGAGAGAGGGACCTGGGTTTTCTGCCAGCTGTTTCTGCTCTGGAAGCAAAGGCCGTTTGTCAGGAGCAATGTCCTGGGATGGCTGGAAACCCAGCCAGCACCTTAGTCCGAGGAGACAAAGGACTGTCGGGCTACTGGAGGGCGACCTCCTGACTTCTGGAGGCAAGGCCTGGCAGCAAAGGCTTTCCTGTAGCTGCGGTGTTATGAGAAATGCCAGGGTCTCGTGAGTATTGATCAGTCATGGAGCACCTCATCTAACAATCAATCGACATACATTTATTAAGCACTTGCTACAATCTCAGGTCTGTTCTAGATGCTGAGTTGCAGAGGGAAGGGGTAGCATGTGGGAAGGAGAACACCAGAGAGTAGAGATATGGTTGTGAGAGTAGGATTTGGAATTGGAAGGCTTGGATTCAAGGCCAGGCTCTACTGCTTACCAGCTGTGGGATGTTTGACAAGTCACTGAAAACCTCTCTGAACCTGTTTACACATTCATTAGGTGGGGATGCCAAGCTATGGCTTCATGGGGCCATCATGAGAATTAAATGAGATTATGCAAGTCGAGGGGCTCCCTGTGTCTTTGGCCCAGAGTGAGTGCCCCGAGACTGATCATTATTGCTATCCATAATTATTATCATTAGTTCTCATATCGTCTACCATAGGGCTGGGTGGTGGTGGGTTGCAAACACAAAAGGAGTAGAAGACTTGGCTCTGAAATTCACAATCCTGGATTTGAAGCCCAACTCACAATGGGCTCAGGAAGAGAGCCCTGTGGCACACAGGCAACAGTGGGGAGACAATTTGGTTGTGGGCTGGAACCAACTTGTCCTCATGGAACTAACATTCAGTGGGTCATGGGCTGGGCTGCTGTGGGCTAGAGTCCATAAGGACAGCAAGATCTGGGGAAAGGATAAAAGGAGAGCATGGTCAAAAGTAGGAAGAGCACAATGTTCTGTGAGAGCTATAACCCATGATCATCCATGCCTCAAATGCGTAATGAGCATCTACTGCTACTTAGTAAGTACCAGGTGGCCTTCCAGGCACAGGAACACAAACTTCTGGTGGGGTCATGCCCCATACCCAGGAAACTGCAGTACAGGGACCTCCGTGTCACATACAGCCCCACAGTGCAGAGAGGCAGGATGGGTCAGGGTCAGGGTCAGGGAAAGGGTACAGGGGTAGCAACCTTTCACCTGGCCCACTTGACTGGTGATGAGAATGTGCAGCAGGCGCAGAAGGCTGAGCAATATCCCAAACTAAATGGCCATCACAACTTTGGATCCAATAGCCCTGATGTCACACCTAAGATCATGAACCACTGAATGTTAGTTCCAGGAGGGTAAGAACTTTGCTGTGCTGGGACACTAGCTGGCATATCATAGATGCTCAAAAAATATGTATTGAATGGAGGAATTAATGGTAACTGAATCACATCTTGGCCAGTGACATCTGTTTGCACTTCCAGGTCCACTCTCCTGTCTCTACCTTGCTCTCTGCCCAGGAGACTAATGGGCAGGAATCACCTCAGTGGGCTCCCCTGGCCTCTGGCTGTGCTAGGGTTTGGCCAGTGGGGAGCCCCGGTAGGAGAGTGGAGGAAGGGAGGACAGTGGTATCCATGTACCTGGCCACTTCACTACAGAATCTCCTCTGCTGGCTGGGGCTCCTTCCTTACACATAACATGATCTCTCCTGGGTGTGGGCAACTGCTCCCTCTTATAAGCAAGACTAGGGATAGTAACCTAGGTTCCACCCATTGTGGTTCCCCTTCACCTTGGCCACACCTCCATAAATATCTCTTTGTAAATTAAACCTCCTTGAACTCTCCTAATCTGAGTGTGCCATCTGATCCTTTTTGAGACTCTAAATGACACATTCCCCAATTTCAAATTTCTTGTAGCAAAATTCTAGTTTTGCTGTTTTTTTTTTAATCTCAATTAGTGCTGTTTTTTTTCGCCTCAATTTCAGCAGTTTGGCAGGAGATGTAGGTGTCTGAGGGATTCTTGATCAAGAATAATCTCCCTAATTTTAACTTTTTTTCCTATTCCACAAATACTGTAGAACAGAAGAGGACCCCAAAATGCAGAAATAAAACTTGCAAAGAAAATTTAAGTGAGTGAAAGCAATCGACAATGCTGATTTTGAATCTTTTCTTCCTTTCCCCTTTGTTCCACTGGTAGCCTCAGTGGACAACTCCCGCTCACACAAATGGCAGCAGAAGTCAAAGAACTCAGAATAGTAGCTCTGAAAGGAGCCTAGAGGCCATCTGGACCAACCCCTTCCTCACCTCTCCTTCCATCTCCACCCCCTCCCCTTCCCCTGTCACCACCACAACCACCATCTCTATGCCCACCACCACCACCTCCACCATCACAACCATCAAAACCATGCCTCCCACCACCACCTCCACCACTGCCTATACCACATGCACAACCATTATGTCCAAACTAACACCAGTACCACTCCGCCCAACACCATCACCACCATCATCATTACCATGCTGACCACAACCACCATGATCTCCACCACCACCACCATGTTCAGCCCCACCACATCACCTCCAGCATACCCAACACCACCACTGTATAGAAAGAAAGGATGAGGGCCAGGAAGACGTGATCCGCAAGATAGGACACTTAGTGGCTTAAACAGAACTAGAACCTCTAAAGTTTTAATCAAAGAGGCTGAGTCTCAAGTAAACAGTTGATTTCAACCACATTTAAAAATCTAAAACAAAAAGAAGTCTTCAAAAAAAGGAGAGCATGATACTGAAAGACAGTATTTGTCTCATGTTGACTTTTTGAAAATAGACCTTATTTTTTGGAGCAGTTTTAGGTACACAGCAAAACTAAGCAAAAGGTAGAGAGAATTCCCAAACACCCCTGCCTCCAAATATGCACAGCATCCCCCACCATCAACATCCTACACCACAGTGCTACATCTGTTACAGCCGATGAATCTTCACTGACACATCATTATCACCCAGAGTCCACAGTTTATATTAGGGTTTTACATTACACATTTACATTAAGGTTGTACATTGTATGAGTTTGGACAAATGTATCCATCATTAAAGATCAAACAGACTATTACACTGACCAAAAATCCTCTGTGTCTCACCATTTATCCTTCCCTCCCCACAACTCCTGGAAACCACTGATTCTTTTACTGTCTCCATAGTTTCGCCTTTTCCAGAACATCATACAGTTGGAATCACACAGTAACCTAGCATTTTCAGATTGGCTTCTTTCACTTAGTAATATGCATTTAAGTTTCCTCTGTATTTTTCATGGTTTGATAATGCATTTCTTCATGGTGCTAAATAAAATTCCATTGTGTGGATGTATCAGTTTATTTATCCATTTACCTACTGAAGGGCATCTTGGTTGTTCCAAGTTTTGGCAATTACAAATAAAGCTGCTATAAACATCCATGTGCAGGTTTTTGTGTGGCATGTGGACACAAGTTTTCAATTCATTTGGGTAAATACCAAGGAATGTGATTGCTGGGGCCCATGTTAAGAGTATGTTTAGTTTTATATGAAATTGCCAAACTGTCTTCCAAAGTAGCTGTACCATTTTGCATTCCCATCAGCAACGAATGAGAGTTCTTGTTGCTACGCATCCTCCTCAGCATGTAGTGTTGTCAGTGTTTTCGATTTTGGCCCTTGTAATAGGTGTGTCGTGGTATCTCATTGTTTTAATTTGCAGTTCTCTAAAGCAATTCTTCATGATAGTGAGCATCTTTTCATACACTTATTTGCTGTCCATATATCTTCTTTGGCAAGGTGTCTGTTCAGGTTTTTGCCTATTTTTAATTGGATTATTCATTTTCTTATTGTTAAGTTTTAAAAGTTCTTTGTATATTTTGGATAATGGTCCTTTATCAGATATGTCTCCTGCAAATATTTTCTTCTAGTCTGTGAATTGTCTTACAACTCTCTTGTCAGTCTTTCACAGAGCAGGAGTTTTTAATTTTAATGAAGTTCAACTTATCGATTATTTCTTTCACAGATCTTGCCTTTAGGGTTATCTAAAAAGTCACTGCCATACCCAAGGTCATTGAGAGTTTCACTTTTGTTATCTTCTAGGACTTTTATAGTTTTGTACTTTATGTTCATATCTATGGCCCATTTTTAAATCATATTGATTTTTTTCAATGATTTACCATCAAATTGTCTTTAAAAGACAAAATTGGTATTAAAAACTATTGAGTCCTATATTTCATTTATATGTTACCAAACTCTAGTGAGCTTTTGAATAACAGTCACTAAATGGTACATTCTTCTATTTATGTTCTAATTTCCAAACCTAAGCTTTATTTCCTTTAAATTTGGTTTTCTGCCTTGATCACAAGAGTAAGCTTGAAAGTAAATAAAATACTCTCCCATGGGTTGAAGTGTGAGCTGTAAAATTCACATACAAGTTTCCATCAAGAACAGTCACAGTCATAATCCACAGAGGTGAATTGTTTGGCTTGATGTGTAAGTGCAAGAAAATTCAACTACTTGCTAAGCAATAATACTATTGGCTTAATTTTCTATTTTATGCCCTTTATTTTTTTGGCCCTCAAAATAACCCCAGGAGGATGGTGTCATTGCCATCACTTTACAGGGGAGGAACTGAGATGAGAATGCTCGTGGTCACAACATGAATAAGCTTAGAGCAAGACTGACTAGGAGAACAACAGGGATGAACACAGTGATGGCTGACATGTGCTGAGTGCATCCTCTGTGCTGACTGCCTCATATGCCCATCATAGTTCATGAGGACTGGGTGGCTTGTCTTTTTCAGTTGTCCCGAAACCATATAACAACGGTGATCGATTGCCGCTCATTCTACTAAACTAGGCTTAGCCCAGCATTTCTGGGTCCTGTGGGGAAAAAAGCTACAAAGAGCCCACAAGTGGGAAGCAGGAAAGTAATAGGAGTGAGGTTGACATTGCTTCTAAGATCTGTCTTGACTGCCCTTTGCCTGAAGAGATGCCTGCTGGTTTCTTTCAAAGGAACACAGGAGTGAGAGTCAGGGCTCTCTGTCACCTTCTAGACATGTGACAAAGGAAGACATTGAACTGCTTGGAGCTCTGCTGAAACCCTATGATGAAAGGATTGGAGGAGAGCAGAGGTTTCCAAACTGTACTCTGAGGAAGCCTTGGGTCATCCCAGAAGGGCCTCGGGGGGATAAAAAGGGGACGTCAAAGGGGACTGGCTTTAGCATCTCCCACTTATCACTGCTCCAGCCAGAGCACCCTATTCATCTACATGTACATTGGTTTTCCAGACTTTGCTGAGGAAAGAACTTAATGGATAAGACTTTAAACCAAATTGATGATGTCTTGGGTCTTGTGGTGCACATTTGGTTTTTGCTGTCCACTCAGATTGCCCTCCATAATGTGCATGGGCCTCATCCAATCAGTTGAAAGTGTAAATAGAACAAAAGACTGACCTCCCCTGAGAAAGAAAGAATTTTACAACAGATAGTCTTTGGATTTGAACTACAACATTGGCTCTTCCCTGGTCTCCAGCCTGACAGACTTTGACTTGAACTATAGCATTACCTCTTCCCTAGGTCTCCAGTCTGCTGGCCCACTTTGCAGAATTTGGACTTGCCAAACTCCAGAAGAGCTAAAATAAATTCCTTAAAATAAAATCTTTAGAGAGAGGGAGAGAGAGAGAGAGGGAGAGAGAGAAAGAGAGAGAGAGCCTATAGGTTGTTTCCCTGGAGAATCCTGACTAATACAATGATGTTTCAGATAAATCAGCTCCATGAAAGAGAATAAAGCCTAGGCCCTCAGGTGAGGACCCTCAGGTCCATGGGTGTATGGAAAACTCTACATTCAACCCCCAGCTGTCTTTGAAAGGCTTTGGTCAGGGTCCTGATCTGTGAGATTCCTCTGTTGACCCTGATCAAGCTTCCCCTGCCCAGACAATGGGACTCCTCCTGGCCATGGT